ATTCTGAACCCCAAAATTGGGAATTCTGAACCCAAAACGGGGCCGGGGTCCCGCCCCCTCCAGGGGCTTCAGCTCCGGCCCTGAAACCAAAATTTAATAATTCTAAACCCAAAAATTGGGAATTCTGGGGATTTATGGTCCCAAAATTGGGAATTCTGGGAGTTTGAACCCAAAAATTGGGAATTCCGACCCCAAAATGGGGAATTCTGGGGATTTATGGTCCCAAAATTGGGAATTCCAACCCCAAAAATTGGGAATTTTGGTGTTTTCATCTCTCCCCATGACGTTTTATAGGATTTTTGGGGTTTTTTTCTCTCCCTCTGAAATTCTAAGTGGATTTTTTTGGGTTTCCCTCTCTCCCAAAGACATTTTATGGGATTTTTGGGGTTTTTTTCCCTCCCCATGAATTCTGAGGGATATTTGGGGGTTTTCCCCTCTCCCCAAGACATTTTATGGGATTTTTTTTTGTTTTTTCCCTCCCCATGAATTCTGAGGGATATTTTGGGGGTTTTCCCCTCTCCCCATGACATTTTATGGGATTTTTATGGGATTTTTTCCCTCCCCTTGAATTCTGAGGGATATTTTGACAGTTTTCCCCTCTCCCCAAGACATTTTATGGGATTTTTACGGGATTTTTTTAGGTGTTTTCCCTCCCCATAAATTCTATGGGATATTTTGGGCATTTTCCCCTCTCTCCATGACATTTTATAGGATTTTTTGGGTTTTTTTCCCTCCCCATAAATTCTGAGGGATATTTTCGGGGTTTTCCCCTCTCCCCAAGACATTTCCTGGGATTTTTATGGGATTTTTATGGGATTTTTTCCCTCCCCTTGAATTCTAAGGGATATTCTGGGGGTTTTCCCCTCTCCCCAAGACATTTCCTGGGATTTTTATGGGGTTTTTTCCCTCCCCATGAATTCTGAGGGATATTTTGGGGTTTTCCCCTCTCCCCAAGACATTTTATGGGATTTTTGGGGTTTTTTTCCCTCCCCATGAATTCCGAGGGATGTTTTGGGGGTTTTCCCCTCTCCCCAAGACATTTTATGGGATTTTTATGGGATTTTTTTTTGTTTTTTCCCTCCCCATGAATTCTGAGGGATGTTTTGGGGGTTTTCCTCTCTCCCCAAGACATTTTATGGGATTTTTATGGGATTTTTTCCCTCCCCTTGAATTCTGAGGGATATTTTGGGGCTTTTCCTCTCTCTCCATGATATTTTATGGGATTTTTGGGGGTTTTTTCCCTCCCCATGAATTCTGAGGAATATTTTGGGGATTTTCCCCTCTCCCCAAGACATTTCCTGGGATTTTTATGGGGTTTTTTCCCTCCCCATGAATTCTGAGGGATATTTTGGGATTTTCCCCTCTCCCCAAGACATTTCCTGGGATTTTTATGGGATTTTTTCCCTCCCCATGAATTCTGAGGGATGTTTGGGGTGTCCCGGGATTTTGGGGGTGCGCACTCACGCTGGGGGAGGTGCGGGGCCGCCTTGACGCCCTCGGGGTGGCCCTTGGGGGGCTCCTGGCGCAGGGGGGGGCTGAAGGTCTCGGTGCGGATCACGGGCGAGTGCAGCTTCTCCTCCTTCCCCCCCCCCAGCGGCTGCGACTGCACCACCGAGGCCGCTCGCAATTCCTGCGGAAATCCGGGATCAGGATCCGCCCCAAAATCCCAAATCCAACCCCAGTCCTGGCAACGAGGCCGCTCGCAATTCCTGCGGAAATCCGGGATCAGGATCCATCCCAAAATCCCAACCCCAGTCCTGGCAATGAGGCCGCTCGCAATTCCTGCGGAAATCCGGGATCAGGATCCGCCCCAAAATCCCAAATCCAACCCCAGTCCTGGCAATGAGGCCGCTCGCAATTCCTGCGGAAATCCGGGATCAGGATCCATCCCAAAATCCCAACCCCAGTCCTGGCAATGAGGCCGCTCGCAATTCCTGCAAAAATCCGGGATCAGGATCCGCCCCAAAATCCAGATCCCAATCCTGATCCTGACCCCAACACTGCTCGCAATTCCTGTGGAAATCCGGGATCAGGATCCGTCCCAAAATCCAGATCCCAATCCTGATCCTGACCCCAACACCGCTCGCAATTCCTGCGGAAATCCGGGATCAGGATCCGCCCCAAAATGCCAAATCCAACCCCAGTCCTGGCAACGAGGCCGCTCGCAATTCCTGCGGAAATCCGGGATCAGGATCCATCCCAAAATCCCAAATCCAACCCCAGTCCTGGCAACGAGGCCGCTCGCAATTCCTGCGGAAATCCGGGATCAGGATCCATCCCAAAATCCAGATCCCAATCCTGATCCTGACCCTGACACCGCTCGCAATTCCTGCAAAAATCCGGGATCAGGATCCGCCCCAAAATCCAGATCCCAATCCCGAGCCTGACCCTGCTCACAATTCCTGTGGCTCCCCAAACCCCGTTTTCTTCCCTGATCCCAAATCCAAAATCCTGGTTTTTCACCTGACCCCAAATCCACATCCTCAAATCCCGAATTCCGTTCTCTCACCTGACCCCAAATCCCAAAATCCAAAATCCTGTTCTTTCCCCGATCCCAAATCCCAAACTCTGACTTTCCATCTGACCCTAAATCCCAAAGTCCCAAAATCCCAAATCCCGTTCTCTCCCCTGACCCCAAATCCCAAATCCCGTTCTCTCCCCTGACCCCAAATCCCAAATCCTGTTCTTTCACCTGAACCCAAATCCCAAAATCCCGTTTTCCACCTGACTCCAAGTTCCAAATCCCAAATCCCCTTTTTTCACCTGATCACAAATCCCAATGTCCCGTTTTTTCATCTGACCCCAAATCCCAAACCCCTTTTTTTCACTTGACCCCAAAATCCCAAAGTCCTGTTCTTTCACCTGATCCCAAATTCCAAATCCCCAAATTCCAGTCTTGGTCTTTCACCTGACCCCAAACCCCAAAATCCCAAATTCCAAATCCTGTTCTTTCACCTGACCCCAAACCCCAAATCCAGAACCTCAAATCCCAAATCCAAAATCCCAAATCTCAAATCCCGTTTTTTCACCTGACCCCAAATTCCCAAATCCTGTTCTTTCACCTTATCCCAAAGTCCCAAATCCAAACTCCAAACTCCAAATCCCCAATCCAAAATGTCAAATCCCAAATCCCAAAATCCCAAATCCTGTTCTTTCACCTGACCCCAAAGTCCTAAATCCAAACTCGAAACTCCAAATTCCCAATCATAAATCTCAAATCCCAAATCCCAAAATCCAAAATCCTCTTCTTTCACCTGACCCCAAAATCCCAAATCCAAACTCCAAATCCCCAATCCAAAATCCCAAAATCCCAAATCCTGTTCTTTCACCTTACCCCAAAGTCCCAAATCCAAACTCTCAAATCCCAAATCCCAAATCTAAAATCTCAAATCCCAAATCCTGTTTATTCACCTGACCCCAAATTCCCAAATCCAAACTCTAAATCCCCAATCCCAAATCTCAAATCCCAAATCCTGTTCTTTCACCTGACTCCAAAGTCCCAAATCCCAAATCCAAACTCCAAATCCCCAATCCAAAATCTCAAATCCCAAATCCTGTTCTTTCACCTGACTCCAAAGTCCCAAATCCAAACTCTAAATCCCCAATCCCAAATCTCAAATCCCAAAATCCCAAATCCTGTTCTTTCACCTTACCCCAAATTCCCAAATCCAAACACT